TGCAGTTGCTGCAGCCCGACACACGCCTGTCTAGAGGCTGGGGCCACCACAATTTAACCTAAGTCCGGAAAACTTCCCACAAATTGCTTTGAGCCCACGCCGCGGCAGCGGAAACCAGTGTCTGTCAACTGCTGTTGCCTCTAAGTGGAAGACTTCTGCTGCAAACATGTCCAAGAAGTGTGCTGCGCGCACCCATTTTTGGTCCCATGAAAGGAACGTTGAAAAGTGGACGGGTTAGCAGGCCCTCCGCAGTTTCAATCAATGGTGCGCGGCACTGCTCCAAAGGTAGGAGGTAGCTTCCGCCGCTTGGGCGAACTAGGTGGGGTGACAGGGCCAGGCCTAACTTGCCCACGCTCTTTTTGGAGCCTGTGGCTTTTGGGTTGCCACAGAACATATGAAAGATGGTCCGCTTTGCTGCGCTTAGGGAAGATGGCGCTAGCTTCCTCTGCGGTCAAGGGATTGTCTCCAAACTCCACACCACGAGCAAACCCGAAAGCACCACGCAGGCGGTTGGAAACGTGCCGTTGTTGTTCTAGAATTCCCGTGGATAGGAACGCGCCCCGCCAACTTGCCGTGGCTAACGCTGTCTGAATAGCTTCAAAAACTATTTCCAGCCAACAAAGGTCGGTCACAACACCACCAGGCAAATTTGATCGCCGTTCTCGCCAAATGTCCCGGAACGAACGTTTAAATTTGGCAAACACATGCGTATCGCAGGGTTGGAGGTAGGCTGTCAGTTTTGCTGGCACATAAACCAGTCGAATGCCACATCGCCGGGCATGTGCGAAAATGGATTGGTGTATATGCGATGGGTTCACATCCAGCAGTAGAATCACTGTTCTGTCACGAACAAGGTTTCCCAGTGACTTGGCCAGTAAACTCAGCCACTTCCTCATGGTCTCATGTGAATTCCACGACGACTTCAACCGCCAGCAGACCATGTTAGCAGGCAATTTGCTGGCGACAGTGTCCAACAAAGCCTTGCTTACTTGACGCTCATTTCCCAGAACGACTTGAGGGAGTTGCCCTTGGACTCCAACGTCGTGAGTTACGCAGGCGAAATACGACATGCAGGTACGACGATCACCCAAGGTTGCACGGTCCACTGCTTTCTGCTGAGAAGCAGAGAACTTGGCCACGTAACCACGGATACCTGTGGGATGCCGCACAAGCGCGGTCTCATCCATGTTGATGAAAAGGGGAGGTCTGTCTGCAGAAGCTTCCCTGGAAGCAAGATTCACCCAACGAAAAAATGCGGCTGCCTGCACCAAAGGAAGGGGCTGAGAACGGGGCCGCAGAACGGACCCAAAAGCAGGGCTACCGTGTTTCCTTTTCAAAAAGGAAGGTGAAAAAACGATGCCACTATTTGGACCCAGATTCGAGGCCGCAGAAAGCGGACCAGAAGTCTTTTTTGACAACCGCAACAAAAAACATGATGCACTGAAAGGCTTTGAAACCACAAAAAAGTTGGCCAACCCTACCGGCCTTAGATCTTCGCTCCTCCACTGGTACATAATCTTGCGGTCGTAGAACACCAAAGCTACAGCCCCATCGCCTTCGAAACCTGGCCAACCACTTCCGCTGCTTCCTTGGAGCGCCAAAGGCCAAGCTGCGCAAACGTTTTCGAATTTTCGGAGGGGCTTCCGCAGCAATGTGCATTGGGATCTGCGCTAGCACTTGTTCCCGAGATGGCGCAACAGAATGCTCTACGTTTTGGACAGCAATCCAGGCCGCCAGCCGGTGTTCCATCACGTACTTGTGAGCACACAACAATTCATCAAATTCAAAATGACTGAACGGGTCTTTTGCCAACGCAGCCACAGCCGACACAGGCGCGCGCGCGTAAGCCTCCTCAATGTCTGCTAACAAATGTTTTCTGTCGCTGCATTGCTCAAACCTGCGCCGGCCTCTCCTCTGCCACCTGTGCCCCCCACCCACGACCCAGAACAAAATCGGCTGCAACTCCAGCCAAGCGCCCTGCCAAGATGTAAACCATTACACAAACA